TCGCGCCGGCGCTGGGGCGGAGAGACAGGCGGTCACCCGTGTGTGCCAGCTCGCTGCAGTCGTTCGTGGTTTTGCTTTAGGAATAGTTGGTACGGACCTGTATTCCGGCAGTTCTCTGAATGCCCGTTTTTACTGCAACAAAAGTGTAAGTTTTTATAAGAAGGACGGTCAGATACTGAAGCAGAGAGCTCTCTGAGCGAGCTCTTCATACACAAGGTTTCTTCCAGCGCAGCCTATTTTAGTTGTGGGGTTTCATGAGGTAACACAACATTTGTTTTGCAGCTGCTGTGTTCCACCCTTGGCCTTTTAAAGGCCCCTCGCATGCAGCCACGTATTTCTGTAACATGTTTTTGCCCGTTTCTCGGAAATCCAGCGACACACTCTTTGATCTGCAGCCCAGGCCACTGTTAGAGACAGGATCTGTTATCTCAAGGCTTTCCTGCTTCCCTTCTCCACAGTGTTGCAGTCCCCAATAGCACATTTCTCCACCGTACATCATTGCCAGCAAGTGAGTGTCACTAAATATACCTGCAAAAGCAATTTAGATCAAGGACTTCATTGTTCTAAGTAAGTACACAGCTTAACAACTTCAATTTCTTTTTTCAGTTAACACTGAAAAAAAAAAATATCCAAAAAGGTAGTATAAGCCTATTAAAGAGGTACACAAAAAAAATCCAAATTTTAACCATGTGGTGACTGGCACTGCCCTTGGTCATTACTTTATCCATTTTGCCTCTCCATAATGCTAAAATCTTTTAAGACTGCCATACAAATGTTGTTCTGGTAATTGTGTTTGCCTATTTATCTTAGAGAATTGCAGTATTTCTTTACAATCCATTTAGCACAGGCATGATTATGCATATTTATCTTAGAATATTTCTGTGCCTTCCCTAATTTAACCCTAAATGATGCTGTTCTTTTGATCATCACCTTAACTCTGGTAATCAGCAGCAGTTTCAATATTTTAATAGAAAGCCACATGTGTGTCCATGGTCACTGGAAAAAAAATAAAAAAAATAAAATATCCTGCTAAATAGATCTACAGATCAGTTACTGAACTTGGCTCTGTCTGTGGAGCTGAAATGGAACAATGCCACTTTCGGATGAAATTACCAAGAAGGTGCTCCAACACCCATAGCTAGTTTTGAGCTGGTTTTGAGTGTGTACGAGGGCACCATGTCCTCAGTACCAGCCCTACAAACCCCCTCTTCCTGCACCACCCTACCTGCATCACACTGATGCAGCTGCAGATCCTCATGCACATGTACTGTAGTAATGCAACTTACATAAAGCCATATAAAGTGCATATAAAGAGAATAAAAGTTTGCCAAATCTAACCAGTTCTGTATGTACTTTCTTCCTTTGTGAAATCAGTAATTCTGTGCTTATGTCTGTGCTTCCCTATATGTAAACAGGAAGGCCAATATGAGAACATCTAGCACCCTCTGCAGTCGTGTTCGTGCTCTCAACATTTGTCAGTTAACAACTGGATGGCTGTAAACCATTCATGCTGCGCATAAAACATTCATTGTCTCAGTTTGCTTTCCTCTAGTGCACTCAAAAACATGGAGAAAATGAGCACTGCCACCTCCTAAATTCTGAGAGTCAAAAAGACAAGGGAGAGGCTGGGACAGAGCGCTGCTGCCAGCTTATCCATTTCATTTGCTGTTTTAAAAAGTGACAGTTATCGAACACAAATGAAGCCAAACAACAAAAATATGCAACAAAGCATTCCATAAAGTGGAGCAGTTAGTAAGAGGAGCTTGGGGTCGTGGGGTTTTTGGAGTTGTTCGGGGTTTTTTTACCTTCACTGAGTAATCTAGCTGTGTCTTTATCTTGAAGTAAGACATCTTCATTTAGCTGAAGAGGGCATCTAAAGCTAAGCATCTTCATCAGGTAATGAACTCCATCATTAAGACACTGTGTACAGTTAAAACAAAAAAAGGCAAAAAATAAGTTCTTATTAGTTTAATGACAGCCAGAAATACTTCTTGCTATAAATTGCCCAAAATACTACTTAAAGAGGAGGAGAGGAAGGGGAGGGAAGCTGTATTTTAAAAGCAAATAGTCAAATTTTATAACTGTATTCACATGCTCACAGAACTTCTCAATTTCCTTTACCTTCTTAAATATGGCAATGTTTTCTCGTAGCCATACACTCCTTTCTTTTGCTGTATGACAATACATGTAAAGCAGTGCTCCTTTTCTCCAGTAAAGACATTCTAACAACTCTGCACCAAGGATGTTCACGGGCTGAAACATAAAATCCAACAAACTGGGCTAACCCCAAAAAACACCTGAACTACCCATATACACACTCACACATGCAAACAGCATTACATTAAGCCTCTAACTTCAGAGGCTGTACTTAACAGCAACAGTCACAGACGCAAGCCCAACAGTTTGGATTAAACTGCCGAAAGCGCATGGAATCATGAAATGCTAGCAAGAAAAAATGTGAGTGTGCAACTAGTTGCTCGAAAAAAAATATTTTCAGGAATTCAAATACAAGTAAGACTTGAAAAACTTTCAAAAAACCTTAAATACTGCCATCCTGTTTCAGATTTTTTATTTTAAAATAATGAAATACCTAATTCTCTAGCTGAATAATATCGGTACTCACTTCTTCATTTATGTTGCATTCCCTCAGTAGGACTTCTGGTTCTGAAAGAATACAAGTAAGTTCTTTAACTTTCTGCAAGGAGGATTCTTCGGGAAAATCTTCATCCACAAGCTGATTCTCCTCAAAAAATGTAATGTCTAAGACAGCCTTATGAAAACAGGAAGATAAACGATATATAAATGCTACCACCAAAATAATCAGATGGTAGCATGCAGCAACATAAAGCTTGTTACAGTTTATAGAATGCTATGATTTTAAGGTATTTTTTAACATTTAGGTTATAAACGCTCAAGTTAGGAATATTTTAAGAATGTTGTCAGTAAATGTAAACTCAAACCCCTTTCTGTCCTTCAGTACAATTATTACTAACTCTAAGTTATCCTCTTCTTGAGACAAATGCAGCCCTGCACTTCATGGATGTGCACTGCACACACTAAGTTATAGAGATCTCTTTCTGCGATACCCTCTTTCCTATTCCCAACCCTCTCTCACACCCTATACGGCAGAGTTCCTTGAAAGGAAGTTCTTAAGTCTTACATATACTACCTGTGTATAGAGGTGCAAAAGCGTGGAAGGATGTTCTTTCCCTTCGTTACAGAGGTCCTTCAATTTGTCCAGAGTAGCAGAGCCCTTTGCTAAGAAGGTATCTGAAGGAAGAACACAATGCTTCCTTAACACTGGAAAGCACTCCGTGAGAGTCTTGCCTACTCTCCCGTTTCACTTCATGTGGTTTTATCCTCCCTGGCGCTACCTACGCGAGCAGTTCAATACAGCATTTCAACGGGCCCGCTGTCCTGTCAGACTACACTTTTCACTGCTTAAGGGCATTCATGGCTATGGTTTGATGCTTCAGAACCGATTCCGCACACTCCATCCCCAAACAAGTCGTGCACTACAGGCACAGCTCGCACACTCCAGGCCGCAGCCACCCCGGTTCGCAGCAGCCTGCAGAGGG